TGTACTTTTTTCTGTACTACATCTCAGAGGTACATCTTGTACTTTTTACTCTACTACATCTCAGAGGTAACTATTGTATTTTTTACTGTACTTTTTCCGTCTCCCTCTCCTGACTGTGTACCTTAGTATGTTGGACGTTGCTTTCCTCTCTTGGGGCAGCAGGTCTGGATCTCGTAGCACCTCTTCCAACAGACAGATCACCCCCATCTTCAGCTCACTGTTCATGTCAAAGTCCTGATGGACGAACACGTTCACAGTTCAGTTACAGCTCAAATGAGTCTGCACAAAGAGACATCAGCTTTAGTCCTATTCAAATCCATAATAGGATTATTTAAAGACAAGTTGCATGAAATTAAAAAATACTTCCTTCATCAGAACTATGCAGTATTGTATATGAGTATTTCTTAAATTGTTTTACATCAAATTGTCTGGAAGGGATGTCGGTGTCTGTAGACATGAGAAGGGCGCCCTCTAGAGGACATTTACATCAGGTGTATTTTCACTTCAGCACAAACATTACAATCACAAAATGAACTTAAAAAAAATTAAAAAAACATCCCTTTTGCCAAAAACTGGGCTCGCACATTTAATAAAAGGTAACAATGTATTGAAAATACTATAGAAAATTATTATTACACAAAATAAGTACATTTCTAACACGTTTCATAAACTTGCAAAAAATAATTGGAGGGAAAAACTAGCAAAAAATAATTTATTGCTTTTATAGGCAAAAATGACATACCTGTATTTTACTTGCAGGGCGATAAAGCTCTTCCTGATTTTAAATAATGTTTTTTATTTACCTTAAAAGACTAAATCAATGATTTTATCATCAAACTAACTTGATATTTGTGGTTGTTTGTTTCCTCCAGAATCTGATATCCGTCACAAATCAACAGGACCAAATAATAAAACAATAAACGGTCACGTTTCAGGCCACAAACATCCAGGTACCAAAATAGCATCTTATACAATATTAAAAGAAAACAATAGTCCCCCCCCCCCCCCCCCCCCAAGGGGGAGGAGGCTGACCTTTCCTCATGCTTCCTGGTGGGAGAAAAAGACCCAGAGAGAGACAACAGTGTCCTTCAGGTGGACTCAAGAGGTTCCTCTGGAAGTGATCCAGCTGATCAGGTCTAACATGATTTGAAGAGGTGTGCGACTCACCTGTGAGTGCTTGGAGACCCAGTGCCGCAGCACGTTGAGGACTCGGTTGGTCGCAGCTCTCCGGATGATGAACTCTTTGTCACAGACTTTGTCAGAATTAGTAAAACCTGAAAGAAAAATAATTTAAGATTAAGACAACAATGTTAAATCAGAAACGGTTTACTGGCAAGTACGTTTGCACAACAATAGCATAAGTGTAGAAATACTCTGTTACAAGTAAAAGTCCTGCATTTATGATTTAATTAACGTAAAGTATAAGTATAAGTACAATATCTACCTCTGAGGTGTAGTACAGTAAAAAGTACAATAGGTACCTCTGGGATGTAGTGGAGCAGAAGTATAAAGTAGCATTAAATTGTAGTAAAGTATTTGAGTACTTGTCCTCTCCACCATCAGTTCCCTCCCTTACGTCGTGAGTCTTTTGACCTTCTTGACTTGCCGTACTCACCCTGGGAGCTGCTGTGCCCGGCGGCAGCGGTGGCGATGGCAAACGCTGAAGCCGGCGACATCGTGCAGCGAGGGTTCTCCCCCGGTGAGACTGCGAGGAACCAGAGACATTACAAATATGTATATAAAAATATCCATAAGTGTACTTGTACTAGTGTTTGTAGCATGTCGTACCTCCCGACTGTCTGTAGCGGAGATGCCTCGGCGTTGACGGTGAGCGGCAGGGAGACATGTCGCCCGGCTCGCTGCTGGCTGGTGATTCAGGGAAGAACTTGTCCAGAGAAACTGTCTCCAGGACAGCTATTAGAAAGAAAAGAGACGTCAAACATCTGCAACGTGATGCAAGAAGATTTCTGTCTTCTTATTCTTTTACTTCTTTCTGTGAGGTTTGCTGGAAGTATTCAGCTCATTAAATGAAGTAAACGTACTAATACACCCACTGTGAAAATACTCCACTAGTCCTGCATGGAGTCACTACAAGGAACTTTCATTATGTGTTGGTTCTGTTGGTCCCTGTGGACTAAAGTGGTAGTGTCTCTGAGCACCAGACTCCATTTAGAAAACCTCTCATGTTACTGCAGCAGGGTCTGACAGTCTGCCCCTCTCAGTCCTGGTTCTGGTTCTCCCGTGCCTCCCTTCCCTCCAGCGGGTCCAGCAATACGTCCTGGTCCTCCAGCAGCGTGGTGTTGGTGTTGACTCCCAGAGAGGAGAAGCTCTGCTCCTGGAGGAGGAGGAGGAGGAGGAGGAGGAGGAGACGACGCTGCTGCTGCTGCTGCCGGGAGCTGAGCTCTCCTCCTCCCTCCGGAGCTCCAACTGCAGGTCCAAGGCTGTACGGTGGACCGGTCTCTGCTGGAGGATCTGGGTCTGTCCACGGTGGACCGTTCTCTGCAGGAGGATCTGGGTCCGTCCACAGTGGACCAGTCTCTGCTGGAGTTTGAGCTGAAGGAGGTTCTGGTGAACCTGCATGAGTTCATCTGGTTTCACCAGAATCCGACCCGGTGGCTCCGATGACGAGCATCAAGAATAACTCTATAGAAACAGACCACCTTCTCTCTGATGGTGTCTTTACTGATGGAGGTCTGATAGAGGATCAGGACTAAACTGAGACTGGTTCAGGACCAGATAAAAGTTCCTCACAGTACCTTTAAGTACAGTACTTCAGTAAATATACTTGGTTATATTTCACCACTGGATCCATCAAACTCTCTTCTCTGGAGAAACTGTTCAGGTGCTCGTTCATTTAGATTCAATTCATTTTGATAATCAACGTCACTAAATCTGCCATAAACCGCTGCCTGTAAAATATAAAAACACCAGGTGTGTTTGTTACAAAAGATAGACTAAAAATACTTCATCTGGATAAAAATAATCTGCAATATAACCTTTGAGAGAGCGTGACTGTTCATGTGCATTTGTTATTGTGTGTTGTTATTGGAGCGCTCTCTATTTCACCGCTTCAATAAGTCTTTTCCCACAAAAGAGCTTGTTTTCATTTGTCTCCTCGTTCTCTCTTCAGAGACTTTGTGACCTGACGCTCCGCCGCTGTTTTTATAGTGAACAAGCTGTCGGCTGGAGCCAGATGGCGATCCGACGGCACGACTACGCCTCCGTCGGGTAACGGTGACCCATTTATGTCTCTCGTTCCCTCGAGTGCGGGTCAGCGACATGTCGGATTCAAGTGTGATATTAGCAAATAAAATAAATCATGCAGGACTTGATGGAGCGAGAGCTACCTGACTGGTTTACTCCTGTTTTATAAAATCATTTGCTTTTGTGCTCCGGCTGTACACACCCCTGCGGATGCTGCGCCTCAGCTTCCCACAGAAGGCGTCGATGCGAGGCAGCTCCCCGCTGACGTCCTCCCCGGCAGCTGGGCTCAGCTCCGGGGAGCCGGGACCGCGGCTGAGGTCCAAGGGGGCCTTGGTGGAGACGGTGGGCGGCGGGGAAAAGCCAGAGCAGGGAGGCCTGGTGGAGGTGGGTGAAGGAGAGGGGATGGAGGGGCTGTGGCAGGAGGTGGGGGAGCTGGCTGCAGAGTAGGTGGGGCTGGTGCAGAGGTCCAGGGCTCCGGCTTTCCCACCGATGGGGGAACTGAGCGAGAGCTTGCGGCAGTGGACGGGGGAGGAGGTGCGGGAGGGGATGGTGAGAGGCGGAGGGGAGGAAAACTTGCGGCCCAACCTCGGGGATTTGTTGTTCAGGGGGTCCGTCCCCCACGAGCCCTGGTTGGTGGCGAAGAAGAGCTCCAGAGACCTGAGAGGAAGAAGAAGAAGAAGAAGAGGAAGAGTTGATGTGTAGATATATCTCTGATCAGCTGACTGAACTCTAACTCTTTACTTTTGTATTTACTTGGACTGATCCAGAGCAAGCTGTGTGATCTTCAGACTGTAGTCAGGACAGAGGGACATGATGGACAGACGATCACATGAATGTTGCTCGACCCTGGGACAGTGACAGTGAGGAGGAGGAGGAGGAGGAGGAGGAAGGCAGGGTGATGGATGAAGAAAGGAAGAACACGTGGAGATGGAAAGATGGAGTGAATGTTTCATGAGACGAGAGGGAAGAACACTTGAAAACACATTAAGATGAGACACTACAGGTGATAAAACATTTAACTAATAGATATTAACAGTAGTGGTGTATGTGGACCCCCCCTCGAGGTTCAGCACGCATGTGAAACGTGGATTAATCACAGTTTACCGTTAACCATCAGAGTGTAAATAAAGTTGTACTGACTCAGTGAACATGTGTTTCCAGTCTCTGATCATGTTTCATTGGAAACAACCAATCAGAGGAGAGCTAGTAACGTTAGCAGCACCGCTAACGGCTAACCAACGGAGGTTCACTTCAGGTACATGATGATGCCTTCAGGCTCTGCTCAGTGAACATGAGTACTGGCTGAAGGTACATTATAATGTTATCGTGATGTGTTCACATGTCATCTGTAAAATGTAGTTTTAGTGATAAACTTGAATAAATCCAGTAGTTTGAAGGAGATAACATAACGTAATAATAACATTATTACTTATCATTGTGTGTAAAAATCTTAATTTGTAAACTAAAGCTGTCAGATTTGGTAGAATTGAAGTATAAAGTGTCTAAACTAAAGTAAATTAGAAGCACCTGAAATGTGTACTCAAGTACAGTACTTGTGTACTTGTACTCAGTTACATTCTAGCACTGTCAGAACTTCTCGACTCGTACCTGACAGGTATGGAGGTAAATGGCTTCTTGTAGATGTCGGCCAGCTTGTCGATGACCACGGCCGCCGTGGTGAAGATCCTGTACGTGTGCAGGAAGGTGTTGAGGAAGTCGATGGAGAGGAAGCGCAGGTCTGTCAGCCGCTCCAGCAGGCGCTCCACGCTGGCGTACCGGATCTGAGGGACCTTGCAGGAGTTGAGCGTCTTGCTGAAGCAAATGTCGACGTCGTCTTTATGCAGTCGGGCGTCAGATCTCAAGGAACCAAAAAAAAAGAAAAAAGTAAACCAACAATGCGTTAATCTGTCTCTTAATACTAATATTTCACTGTAGTTCTTAAATCAAACAAAAAGGAGGAAATAGTCCGATTGTTTGGTACTATTTTCAGCGGCAGATTAATCCACATTTGGTGCTCTCGTGAGCTTTGATGTGTTCTTTAATGGAGCTCTATGAGACGCTGTGATACTCACACAATACTTGTAAGTAAAAATGTTTACCGTTATTAGTTTTGGTCTTTACACAGGATTTATTGACACTAAGAAAAATATAGAATACTAACAGAATTATCCCTAAAGTATAATAGTAGTTGCTGCTCCTGAACAGCTGAAATAATACAGTAAATAATAATTAATGGGAGTAGTTTGGCTGAAATCTTTCATACCCAAATCTATCAAAAGTATCCTTTAAATAGTCATAATGCTTAATAGATAAACGACGCACTATATTATAATGCATAGTAGTATATATATAGTTTATATTATTACATTATAAAAACACATTCTATGTTACTTATTAAACAGACAATTTAATAACAGCAATTTTTCACATATTGTAATATTTGTTGTTTTTGTTTCAGATTCTATTGTAAATGTTCACATTTTTTATTTTAAATGATGTCTTTGCACTACTGCACTGTGGTTTTTGATACACACTAATCACAAAGTCACATTCCTTGTCCGTGCAAACATATTTATCAATAAACAGTTTCTGATTTCTGTTTGTTTGCAGGAACATTTTCGTCAATATTCAGTCACATTGCACCAGTTAACGTGTTGTAACCGTATGCTGACGATGTTGCCGTATATGTTATAAACAGTATATGACGATGAGACAAAATGATCAACCGACATCATCTCCACTGCTACGATGTGAAGCTTTCTCAGACCATCAGATATCCTGGTTTCTTACTTGATCATGTGCGGCACAGAAACTTTGGAGTTCTCCTCAAACACGCTGGTCATCAGGCCGTTACATCGGATATTATCAATGCACTGAAACGAGAGATCCGGTGACACTTTTCAGTCCTCTTTAATCTTAGAGAGATCTTTAACAGCTTTAAGAAACAGTCAGGCCCACCTGGCTTATGTCACTGGTCCAGGCAGCCTTTTCCTGGCGAGAAGGAGCCAATAGGACGACAGAGAAGGACTGACCGTCCGGAGGCTCCACCACGATCTTGAACTCCAGGGGGTTGAAACCTTGACCTGCTGCGTTGTCTGCGAGTGTGAACAGGCGATCCACGCCTCAGTTAACAGCAAATGTTGACGTTAGGCAGAGAGACATGAAAACCAGGGGTGTAACAATACGTGTGTTTAAGTCTAAATGGACCAAAATGTACTAAATGAACATCATGCTGTATTGAAGAAGACTTGAAACTAGAGATTGAGACCATAAACTCATGTTTACAATGTTTACTGAGGTAATAAATCAAGAGAGAAGTAGAGTCATTTTCTCATAGACTTCTATACAAACTGAACCGTGACTCTTGTGTACCGTTACACCCCTAATGACTATGTTCAGAAGATACTCACAGTCCTCATCACTGGCTTCTAGTTCTTCGATGAGAGTGCACTCTATCAGAGACAACGTGCCTCCTTGCTGTTGGAGGAGAAAGAGATGAAAACAACATCTGATGAGTTTGTAAATGCTACCTGGCTATGAAGTCATTTCACCCGTTTTAGAATGCATTTGGATGAAATGTATCTGTGGACAGGTTGAAGCTGAACCTTCAGCAGATGAAGCTTCCCTCCAGATGTTCGTGTACAGATGAGGAAGTGCTTGGTGAACAGGAAACACTGTCGCTCTCCTTCCTTCCTCAGGGAGAGGGAGCCCAGGCGGACCTTGCTGAGCATCCCCCGCTCGCTGCTGGACGGCAGCTGGATGAGGGAGCCTGTTTAGTGTCGGGGGGGGGGGGGGACGGTTTGAGGAAAACGGTGCCAAATGTCTGTTAATTGACAAACAATTGCTGTTTTTCAAAGCCAGTCTCTGACGGTGTCATATTACCCAACATGACTCAACTGACACCACGCAGCTCTCGAGGTACACGCCGCTATTGTTTTAAAGGCAACAAGAGAAAACCAGACCTACCTTCACCTGCAAGTAACATCAGAAACCAGTACGGCCAGTGCTTCCCCTTTATTTCTGTCTTATTACCCTCTGAACCCCAAAATCTGACGACGGGATTGAAAAGCACGTTTTCTTTAAACAATCGGCAAAAAAAAAAAAAGTTGTCCACTCCACTTGGCAGTGCCCTGAAATAAAGAGGTTTTGGCATGTGACATCCGATCCAGTATTGATGGCGTGACTCGTTTATTGGTTAACTTTACTAAATTGAACCTTAAATAGCCACACGATGAAGCTCACAGATATCTCGCTGGCCGTTGCTAAAACAATGAGTTGCGTTAAAATGGAAATCAGACGTCTCTCTCTCTCAATGTGGCTGAAATGAATAGTTTTATACCTTTACAGAAAATAACTTATACATAACTTAATAAAACTCAAATAAAACATTTTATAAGATGTGGCAACCCTTCTTGGATTAAATGGGAAGTCTCACATTGCACCTAATGGATAGCGTCTCTTTTTAATCTTGGATTGGGATGTGATTGAATACCTGATGCTGGATACGAGATGTCTCTCAATGATTGTTTAGTTATATAATCTTATTGTCCTTTTTACTTATTTGAATCTAAGTTTTAGTTGTTTGTTTGTTGTTTTGTTGACTTTGTACTGTTATTTATCATTTAATGGCTAAGTGCTAATTTGTATTTTTAGCTGACCAGAGGACATTTGGTAAAGACGGAGTGGTGTTCTCTGTGAAGTCTGCTGGAGGTGATGTTATGTTGGTGATGCTGTTTTGCCCTCATTGTTCTCCGGGATGTTATGTAGCCCTGGTGCGTTTCATGTGGAGTGAACGCTGCGCCGGACTCCATTTAAAAAAAACAGTCTGTTAAATCTTACGTAGCTTGTCAGCAACCTGCTTTAACGGTGACATCTCTTCTTTTTAAATAAATTATGTCCAGTGCAATTCATGCCAATGTGAAGAGTGGCTCACGTGGATTTACAAAAGTGTCAACTATGAAGGAATAAATATTTGGAAACATAACTGGAAAATATTTGAAGGAACTCTTAAAGTGTTTAATTTGAGAACAGAGTTGTTTGTCTTTTCCAATGTCAGTCACAAGAAAAGTGAACGTTGACATAATGAACTATATTAGATATAGAAATGAGTTGCAGGCATTCATAGAAGTATAGTTGGTCTGAATGTGATTGGGCAGCAGCTTCAGAGGAAGCTCACCTTGTCTGACGAAGGTCTGACTGGTGTCCAACAGGATGTCACAGCCCTCTACGATCATCCTCTCTATGGCCAGATTCTTCCTGATGTTCTCGGTGTCGCTCACCTCATCGTGCATCATCCTGACGACACCAACAATCATCATCATCATCATCATCATCATCATCATCGCCATCTATGACAACACATGTCTGAGAAATGTTCACACACTCACTTCGACAGCTCCTCCAGTTTGGATTTGGCGAACTCCAGACTCTTACGCTCCACGTGCTCATGAGGTGTGTGAGCCAGCAGCTCGTGAAGAGTGATGATGTACCGAGGAATCTGAAATACACAACGCCACATGTCTGGAAATACTTTTTTAAACACCAGTTTATTTATTTTATAGGGACAGAGCACGTTAATAAACCTCAATATAAAATACAAGATTTATTAACAAGAAGGCTAATTTACAGGCAGGTAACTAAAAATGAGACGTTACAGAAGTATTCAAATCCTTTACTTCAGTAAAAGTACTAAAACCACTCTGTGAAAATACTCCACTACAAGTAAAAGTTCTGTATTCAAAACTTTACTTTCATAAAAGTTTCCGAAAATTGACTTAAATACTACAAGTCAAAGTACTGATGTAGTGGAGTAAAAAGTACAATTTTTACCTCCGCGATGAAGTACAGTAAAAAGTAAAATATATACCTCTGAGATGAAGTACAGTAAAAAGTACAATATGTACCTCTGAGATGTAGTACAGTAAAAAGTACAATAGTTACCTCTGAGATGTAGTACAGAAAAAAGTACAATAGTTACCTCTGAGATGTAGTACAGTAAAAAGTACAATATGTACCTCTGAGATGTAGTACAGTAAAAAGTACAACATGTACCTCTGAGATGTAGTACAGTAAAAAGTACAACATGTACCTCTGAGATGTAGTACAGTAAAAAGTACAATATGTACCTCTGAGATGTAGTAGACTGAGTACTTGGGTGGGTGTACTACCTGGAACATGGGATACGTGAGGAACGTCTCCAGCATTCGTCCCTCACACGCTGCGTTGGACTCGTACTGTTTCAGCAGCTTGTCAAAGTCTCGGTTCTGCTTACAGTTGGCCAGAACCTGCAGACTGTACTGGTGGTTACGGACAAACTCCTGGTAGATGTTCAGCATCGGAAGCAGGATGTCGAACAGGTCGGCTGGTGAGTGAGCAAAGAAAACACAACAAATACGCTGAACGTGAGATAAAAGGTCACGTAGTAACAGTTCACAAGTTTGTTTTGCTATAAATCATAAGCATTTATTGCATAGTGTTGAAGAAGACTTGAAACTAGAGATTGAGACCATAAACTCATGTTTACAATGTTTACTGAGGTAATAAATCAAGAGAGAAGTAGAGTCATTTTCTCATAGACTTCTATACAACCAGAGGAGTCGCCCCCTGGTGGACACTAGAGAGAATGCATCGCCCCCTGGTGGACACTAGAGAGAATGCATCTTTAACACTTGAAGCAGGACTCACCCAGGACCAGCGTGGGCCAGTTGGCGATCCGAGCTTGGAGACCCTGATGGAATATCTCGTGCAGGAACATGATGGTCTCGCTAGAGAGGGAGAGACATTCTTACTGTTAACTATAAACTAGAAGATAAAAAAAAATTGTTATCCAAAATATAATAAGAAAGGAGATACCTGTTGAGGAACACGGTGCTGACGTCATCGTGGCTGATGGGAGGCTTCTTGGAGCTGGCCGCCATGCGGAGCGGCCGCAGGAAGCAGTTGACCAGGATGGAGAGCTGGTGGACGTACTCTGTCTCCGCCTCCACCATGTTGAAGACGATCTGGTTCCTCTTCCTCATGCTCTCGGCATGCGGCGAGCTGATGTAGTCCTGGACGATGATCTTCCACTTCCTCCGGCACAGCCAGCCGCGCATGAAGCTTTGCACCTTTTTGATCTTCTTGATGTCGGGGTCTTCCTCCTCTTGGTTGTTCTGGTAAGGCAGCATCCTCTCCTTGGTTTTGTTCACCACGACGATCTGCCACAACATACCGACACAGAGGTTCAAATATTAATGAAACCACCTCAGAGGTTTGAAAACAACAAATATCTCGTTGCATGATGAGGAAGTAACGGTCTTGGAATCGCTGGAGCCCTGCTGTGCTTTCATTTAACACACACAAACTCTCCAAATTCAAATGTTTTCCCATCATGCCAGAGGCCTTTGCATGCTTTGATCTGCATCTCTGAGTGCATGCATGTGTCTTTACGTGTGCATGCGCATGCAGATGTGCAACGCGCTCATGCATACCTCGGCTTTGAGCCTCTCGATCTCGGTGTCCTGGTCCTCCAGCTGAGTGCGGAGCTGATTGGCTGCGATCTTCTCCGTCTCCATGATCTGGACCAGGTGGATGTACTTCTGCATCAGGATCTCACGCTCGATGATGATGTCGGAGTAACTAAAAGGGAGCAAATATTGTACTTTCTACCTCACCATTTCGCTTATACCATTGTCACTTGCTACAATGAAAAAAAAAGACTTAATTTGTATTTTAATGCATTTTGCAACAAAAATCCAAAGTTTTTCAAAAGCCATTTACTTCCCCTGGTAACGCTGAGGGTTTGCTAATACCTGGAGCAATCATTAGCATCCTCTAAGCTTCTTATGCAACGGAAACGCTGTTCACTGCTCCAGTCAATAGGACGGGCCTTGGATACGACTTGGCAACAGGAAGTATTTCTAGTCTGCTCAGCTCATAGATCCTTTTAGCAATCCAGCCACAGCATTGTCCCTAAATCAATATCTATATTTTCATAAATCTTGATTAGCATAACGCTAGCATGAAGCTAACGTTACGCTAGCTAGATATCCTTCTATGTTATCGTCTATTCTACTAATCTACGTAGTAGAATACAAAGTATCTAAAACTGGCTCCAAAAACAGAGTTATATAATATTATGTAATAATAAAAGTGTGAAAGGAGCCGTTCTGCATAATGAGTACTTTCACCTTTGATACTTTACCTTTGATATAGTACTTTCACTTGTTTTGTGTATTTTTCAGTGGGCGAATGTTACAAAGCACATTTACTCAAGTGAAGTACTAAGAGTACGCTATGTCAGAATTGTACTTAAGTACTTGAATATTTCCATTTTCTGCTACTTTATACTTCTACTTCACTACATTTCAGAGGGAAGTAAAGCCTTTTTTACTGCACTACAATTCTTACATACTTGTAGTTATTAGTTACTGTTATAAACAGCATATGACATGTTGCAGTACTACTACTAATCTACCCAGTAGTACACAAATTCTAAAATTGGTTACACATTGACAAACTACAACATGATAATACTTTGTATTTGTTGGTGATAAAAACAGATTATTCTATATTAATACAAATATGAAAGGAGCTGTTCTGCATAATGAGTACTTTCACGTCTGATACTTTCATTTTGCTTTAAGATTCAGGACTTTCACTTGTAATGGAGTATTTTTAGACCATGGTATTTTCTACGTTTACTTGAATAATTATCAGACAATATGCGTTTATAAAGTAACACGAATAAACAAAAGCATCACGTTTCCCGCTGAATGTTCAGACAACGAACGGAGAGGAATAGAGGTCGAGCGGCGAGATCAAGTCTGTGACGCAACCAGAGGAGCAACACAGCACCAGTGTGACCTAGATGTGAACCGCTGCGAGCAGAACACGTCCATGTTCACACACACACACACACACACACACACACACACACACACACACACACACCAAATGTGCATCAGCAGCACAATAAGCAGCCTTAAACCTTAAATCATGAAAAGTCATAAATTCTTTGTGTTGAATATGTAATTAATTAAATGTTACAGTGGAGGAAGTATTCAGATCCTTTACTATCAATACTACTACATTAAAAATACTCCATTACAAGTTAAAGTGTTGCATTCAAAGTAAAAATATTAAAGTAAAGAAGTACTCGACTACAATGTCTCCTGTGACATTATTAGATAATTAATACTGAAGCATCAATGTGAGAGCAGCATGTTGCAGCTGCTCCAGCTGGAGATAAAATTATATAATTATATACAGTCAGCTGGTTTAGTCCAGTGGTTCCAAACATAGGGGTCAGGCCCCTCCAAAGGGTCGCCAGATAAATCTGAGGGGTCGGGAGACGATTAATGGAAGAGGAGAAGAAGAAACTAAGTTCTGATACAGAACCAAACGGGAACCATTTATTTAATCTTTAACAATGAATTGTCTTTTACAATGTCTTCATGTTTTTAATGTAAAATCTTAATCTGAGAAGTAACAAGTAACTAAAGATGTCTTTGGAATATAGTGAAGTAACTACAACTACATCCATCTCTGTCCAAAATGTCATCACTTCATCATTTGTGTAAAATTGCCATTGTTATGCAATCGGTCGTTGGTGTGTGTTTGTGCATCTCTGTGTCTGTCCACGGCTAATATCTCTAATCTACCGAGTGCACATTTCAAGTTATGGCCAAAAACATGTTTTTTGTGAGGTCAAAGTGGCCTTTAAACACTAAATTATAAATCAGTTAATGTTGAAGACCAGGTGGACGTTTGTGCCAGATTTGAATAAATTCCCTTCAGGTGTTCTGGAGATATCTCGTTCACGAGAAAGAGACGGACAGACGGACAACTAAAAAACATAACGCCTCCATCCACACCTGTCCCTGTCGCAGAGGAGTTAAAAGCACATTTTCCTCTGAAATGAAGCGCAGTAGAAGTATAAAGTAGCATAATAATCAAGCAAAGTACAAGTACCTCAGACTTGTACTTAAGTACAGTACTTTAGTAAAAGGACTCCATACCTGGCCTGCTGGATGCAATCCACCCACTCGTTGCAGTCCGACTCTTCCTCCGTCCGCAGCTCCAACGGTTTCTGTCCATCGTGGCCAAAAATCACCAGGAAGTAGTGCTGTGATGGAGAAAACAGACGGAACATTAATTCACAGGAAACCTGTACTACTGGTCCTCTGGTGCTCCCTGTACAATACGTCTTGACATGAGGTCAGAACCACAGACTGTACAGTATACAAGAAGACTCCGGCGATTTCGCCATCGCCATGTTGGTTTTTGCAGCCAGTGAACAGGAAGTGATCATATTAGTACTGAGGAGGAGTGACATAGAGACGCCGTATACGTCTCTGGTAAGAGACCTGTCAATCCCTGTGTAGCCCCGCCCTAAAGCATCCCCTGCTTTATGGTCTGTGTGA